GACTGATCTCTCTGAGTTTCCTACCGCTACGATCTCGTTATGGATGTCGATAGCTCTCCCATCGTTCGACTCGCAAATACTGTTAGCAGTGGATGCGAAACATCTACCTGGTGTGATCTCCAGTCAAAAGTTGAAGACATTTCAAAGTCTAAACGTGTTGCGGAGCCACCTCTCAGAACGTTTTGTTTGGCTGATGGCGGGAAACACCGCGCTTGCGATCCGAGAATTGTTGAAGGGTCGTTCATCTGAAATCCCGCCAACGAGGCCAAGTCGTACTGTTTGATGAGAACTTATGACCTTGCAAAGACCTTCAAAACCGCTCGCTTTTACGTAACTAAGATGAGAATTCTACAGTCCCGACCGTAAGAACGTTTTGTTCCGCTCGTTGTCGAAATGAGTGGAGAGTGATGTCTCCACTGATGCCTATGACCCCGAAAAGGAGAAAGCAAGCATCTTCGAGTCATTGCCAGGAGATCTCCGTCCAAGCGGCATAGAAAATCGTTCAAGGCGTGGGAGTATATGTGAAGAACTATGCGGAACTCAAAGTTCATTGGTCTTTTTTATAATCATGTGAACATGAAAATTTCCTGATGAAGAGCACAAAAACAGAAGTGGAACTTATCACCCTACCTTATACAATTCGATGAAGCCCCCGAAGTACTATGAAAAGGCACTACTACGTAGAAGACGTTGCACGCTCATTGGAAACCAAAAGGGAATCACATGGCTGTTCTTGCCAATACCAGATCTTACCTTCTGTTCCTTCTCCTGGATGAGATAAGGCACGATTTTACCATCAACCTCAACGTATCCGGCATCCTGAAGTAGTCTGATGGTCGGCGTCACCATCGACATGATGGCACCGCATGCGAAAAAGATGATTGTTCTTCGTAGTGTCCACCACTGAAAGTGTTAGATGTCTTGGAATGTGCCATATTCTTGCATTATGTTTGGAAAGTCCTAGTGTTGCAGGAGTGAAAGCAAAATTCATAGTGCCTTATCACTGAAACAGTCATCTCTCTTGTGAAATTCCACAATAACTACAAAGAACACTTTAACTTACTCGATTGTGCTTCATTGGGTAGCAGATGGCAGTCAATCGATTTATCGATAGCATCAACTGAGTAAACAGCTCTATGTTGCAAGAGAAGTTAGTGAGTGCAAAACCGGCCTGAAAATTTTTAGCAATTCTCTATGAGCCGTAGCACTGTTGTGAGTCAGAGTATAAGTATACGGTATATGTGGTATCAGTTATAAGCACATCATCCCTTGAGTTTGTTCCCAAAATACAACCCCACTCCTGACCACGGCTAAGAGGACTTGCCCTGGGTGACATATAAGCATACAGATCATCCCCAGTCCTATGCAAATAATGAAAAGACCAACCTTAGCGATGTACGGCTTATCAAGAACGGCTGACCATCCTGCTAGCGGATATCGGAACGCAATCAAACTGGTGGCAACTTGGATAATGTCAGCTGGCGCTAAAAAATTACAAGTTTCGTATAGAATGAACAAAGCGGTGTCATGTGTGCAAGTCATTGAGCCCAAAATACAATATCTTTCAGATGGATAGGGTTCCATCTTTGTAACAATTTTTTTGTCAACAATTTTTTTTTCAACGTTCTCGTTCTGCCTTGAATGGTCAGGTCGAAGGGGTTTTTCGAGAAGAAACTGGTGACTGGGAGGTCGAAGGGAAAACATAATGTGCCTATAGGCTTTGAAAGTTCCATTGTTACACCCCATTCATACCTTTTTGACTTTAGAGTGTGGAGGAAAACTGAACATGGCCATGGGACATGGGATATACGAATGTATGGGTCCTGAAAGAGGTGCTAATAAAAATCTCTAGACGACCTGATAGTCTTCCCATGCATTCAATGTGAGATTATTCACGTCAGCGGGGCGCTAAAAAAATTACAAAGTTTCGTTTTCAGCTAGAAGGCAAACAAAAGCTGAATCATGTGTGCAAGTCATTAAGCCCTGCCGCTGGGGAAAATTTTCATAATTCATACCCCCCTCCGATTTCTTCCTCTGCAGCGACCTCGCCCTTCCCTACCCAACTTTATTCGCCGCCTTCCTTACCACAATCTTCTCAAGAACTACTCCACTTTAGCCGCCCAAAAAATTTATGCCGTCGAAGAAGCGGCCGGGATGGGCAGGGGAGGTTGCATAGCGCATAAGGGAACGAGAAAAACAACGCAGAACCGAAGTCGATAACCGCAAAATATTTCTCGCAAAGCGGAAAATTTCTCTCAAATGCAAACACGACCCCCGTCCCTCACTAGAATTCTCCCAACGATGTGAACAGCGCTCGTGAAAATCAATTATCAAGAAAATTGTCTCAGATCCCCTCTGTTCAGCGATCAAATGACCCTCCGCTAAGACTCGCACCACGTAGAATGTACCGTGTTTGCGACTTCTGCCTTGTGCGCGAAGCGAGCCCATCTGAGCCATGTGGGCTGGATCTGGAGCGCCGTCAACGTTCTCCAGTTCGCTGAAGCGTGCAAGCGACAACGATTGGTGTACAACGACCGATAGGAACGACATGATTCGTCGCTTGCAGGAAGAAAAAATAATGCACTGCCCCGCCACCAAAAAGCCTTCCAGCCTGACACACCCCATCATCCGCACTGAACAAGACTGTATATCGCGAAGATGGAGAGGCTGGGGCCGCGTACTCCATCTGAACGTGCCATAGGAAACGCCTTTGTGGCATTCTTCCATTTGAGACAATAATCATTTCTTGCGCTGGACAACAGCGTGACCGTAATTTTTCAAAAATGTTATTATTCCTAAAGAGGCTAAGGCGTTGCCTCGTTATATGGAGTGCGGTGGTGCGCCCTTTCCTTCTACGTGGATGGAATGTAGACAATGCCTAATTCCATCTTGCCTTCGACGAGTACTTGGGTTTATCATCATTCGTTTTTTTGAACTCACATCCGAAAACAAAGCGCCGAAAACCTCGTTCGTGGTCCATAAAAGTTGTTCACGCTAAGAGGGGCTGCTCTCAACTGACCTCTGACCAAATCTTTTGTGGCTAATGTTGTCTACCGCTAACCTCTTATCAAAAATATGTAGTAGAAGGCGGAAGAAAATTCGTCATCTCGTGAAAAGATAATATAGCAGAACTCGGCTAAATACAGTATCAAACTCGGTAGTATGTAAACGTGTTGGAGTCCAATCAACAGTTGATAGTTCATCTCTTAGGTGGGTTACACCTGAAATGATGATTGAGAATATTTTATAGTGAGAGCAAAAAAGTACAAATTGACATCGGATAGTGTTAGGATGTGCATTTAGTACTGAGTGACATGAACAAATGATTCTAAGCTAGTGAGTTGATTCAGAGAACGGCGAGGGGTCTGTTTTGACCACGAAAGACGGATCGTTTAATAAGGACATCTCTTTCGTTTTTTTTTTGTTTTTTTCTTTCACTAGATCACTTAGCCCGACTGTAGATTCATGTCTGAGGCCATCACTACCATTTGCTGCTTATTTCGTAAAGCGCTGCCTTCGAAGGCAGTAAGGCCAACTACGGTACACTCTCCTTATCCCTGAGTCAGAGTAGGCGTGGCATTTGAACATGGCACGGAATTGGTTACTCGTGGAATATTCCAGTCTGGGACAACTGTCATCTTGTTCTGTGTTGGGAAGAGACACGACAACAATTGTGTCAAGATGAAAATATCTCACCAGAAGCATAGACACCTCCAGGTTAAGTTGAAGAATGCTGGCCACGCCTACCCGATCTCAGGGATGTTCGAAGTATTATACCGCGCGTTTTATAAGGGCTGCAGGGATGCTATATTGTGAGAAAATGGCAAAAAGCGATGAGGAACTGTCAAGAACCTGCAAAGTTATTGTTGTTCTACACGACTCAGGAAGGAATTCCGAACGAGTTTCCCGTTGGCACCGTGCCATTTACCGCTGGCGATGATAACGTTCTGCATGTGTGTACTCATAATTCATGCACCACCCAGCCGCTTCATAATAATCCCTTCGCTTCATATTTTACGTCGCAAATAAATGAGCAAATAAAAAATGAAGCGATACAAGCATCAGTTCCAGTCGGACAGTTAAGGACAGGCGGGCTCCTCGGGCGTCCGGGTTGATATGTTGCAGTTTAATAGGACACCATGAGCGTAACTTCCATGAAAAAGACAGCAGGCAGCGCCTGCTCAGGGGCGCCGAGTTCTGTCCTGTTACGCGCATTAATACTACAATTTTTCGGGGTTTTATCGTTCCCTTCGCAACAATTTCCCGTAGATACAGGTGCACGGGCACATCTTAATATCCACTATACATACATCGCGATGTCTGTTTTTTGTTGGTGAAATGGTTGAATTTGTATAACCCGCGCCGAAAGCACGCACCTCCCCTGGAGCAGCCGTTGCGGCAATCATTGGTGTATGGTATAGCATGGCGTAAAGACCAAGATCGGCGCCGAACAGCCACATTAGCTGAGATGCCCGCTTGTGGTAGGTCCGTGCGCAGATTGGAGCGCTCAACAAGCCGTAATGTGTATTTCGCCAAGGACAGGGGCATAATCAAAGTTATGGATATGAGAGAGCAGTTTGAGTCAATCCAAACTAACGATCATTAATGACTAAAACTTAGGTTTTTGCTTCTGAGGGAAGGTGAGCGGTTTTGAGTCAAATGCCCCATCAATTCTTATCGTCAATTTTCTATGCAACGCTGTTGACCAAGATATTCGGCACTGTTGTTCGGCCGAACACCTTCAAGACGGCAATCAAGATCACATTTCCAGGAACTAGGGAAGGTTCAAAAGTTTGGAATTTTGACTTGGATTTTTTACTACCACTTGTGTGAAGCCCGCAAGTGCTCTCACCTTAGTTCGTCAGATCAAGCATACCTGTGTTCCTCTTAGAATTTCATTGCACCTTGGACTGGTTCTAAAACACAGTCAATGGCATTGAGAAACATGTAGTTTTAAACTCCAACACTTTGTGCAACATCAGCCTAGCTTGGTGAACTGAGAGTTCAGTAGCCAAAATCCAGCCTCATCCAAGGAGGACCTCTCGAGCTGCTGGCGAAGCGAAAGGAAAATTGTGCTGTTGGAAGTCGTACCAGTTGATGCAGTATGTGAGTGGAACCCTTGAACCCTATCAGGAGAGGGACTACCCTTCGACTGTCACATTTTTCCAGGTGACGCTCAGCGTCACGTTTCGGAATAAATTCAGAACTTATCAAAATCTCTTTGGAGGACACTTCTACCGTGAGCACGCTATAGCCCTGATCCTGTTCCAGCAGAATAGCGCCCTCCCCACTTCTTAGCCCACCTCCTTGAAAAGGAACCCAACGCTGTCAAGAAGGTATCAGAAAATCCAATCCTTCTCAGACCAGAAAAACTCGAGAGTTCTCTAACAGAGCCAGCCGCCGAACAATTTGCGTAACCATTGGTGATATGTTGAAAATAATGGCAGCGCAGACTGCTCTGAATAAGAGCACAAAAGAATCATAGAAAGGGTAAAAGTTATTTGACCTAACTTCACTACATAGGTGGGTGTAACAAATGAAAAATCTTTTCAATGGAACCCCAAACATTCAGCTGCTCCGAAATTGTTTAGGAGGCCGACTCTAACCGTATAGTTCTAACCCAGCCTTGACATAGCTCTTCTAGTATTGTGGTAACCGACGGGAGCCACTTTTAGATCTAAGAGGTAGAAATGGAAGGCGAAAGAGCATCTCGAGCTCGAAGCAGTCTAAAAAGGCGATATCGAAGAGCAACCCGGGGATCGAAAGGTTCTTCTAGCTGGGCCATCAACTGAACAACCATCCGAGCCGACAGTATAGCATTTTTCTCTGTTTTCAAGATTTGTCTAGTTAATGTCATGATTACTTCACTACCGAAAAGTTCCAAGCACAGCAGGGATATTATGTTACATTTCATACTGAATCACTTGATAACCCCCTCCCCCAATTGGTACACTTAAAATAATTCTCAGATATCGCCCTCCAGGTGCAGTTTCATCGACAGGGGGGGGGGCATTTTGCTTTCCATAGATGTGTCGACCCATCTAGGTAGCGTTTTCTCGAGTTGACACGTTTTGGGATGGTGGCTAGACGATCCTGCTCCAGCTTTACAAGAGTTCACAAGTTTTACCAAAGTGAGATGCAAACCGGAACAAGGGAAGCAGTGATAGTACAAAATGCCCCCCCCGTCGATAAACAGCGCCCGTCCTCCAGCGCGAAACGTTCAGAGACTAATTTACAAAGAGATAGAAATTTGATTGCAGCAGTCAACTAAACAATGTTTGGAAGAAACAACATTCGAACTAAGGGTAGGATAAAAATTGTTAAGGAGTGAAAGTGATATTTCAAAGTCTCTCAATCGCTTCGCTGAGTATGGATGCCTGCGCTTGGGACCTGAAAGTGCTTCAAAACTCAAGGTGTTGGGCTGGAAGGCAGACATTCACGGCAGAAGTGATTGTTTGTGAGAAGGAGCAAAGTAGCAGGAAGTCGCAATAGAGTACAGTAATTCAATGGCTAAACTT